GGTGCAGCAGGGCGGTCGGACGTGGCAGGATCCTGCCTCGACGTCCCTGTGCGCTTTTAAAAAACAAAACCTTGCCAGCTTCACCAAACAGCAGAGCCTGTGCCAGAAATGCCGCTCCTGCCGTACCCTGCCTTCCACGTTCCTGCTGCTGCCTCCAGCCAAGGGAGCGAGGCCCGCTGTGTCCGTGGCAGTCCAGGGCAGCGGAAGAGCTCTGAAGTTGTTGGCAAAGGGTGTGGCTCAAACAAAGTGAAAGAAATGCTCATTTCTCTCATTTTTTTCACTCAGGCCTTATTAGCCCCTGAGCTAGAGTTTCACAAGCGGCGCTGTCCATCTGGATATGTCTTAGGGTGCCTAAAACCTTTAAAAAATGGCGTATGTGAAGGATTATCATCAACATACAGTCGGGCTTCTGTCTCGGGAGTAGGTAAATTGGTTGGAAAGCAGTATGTAAAGTTATGACTGAGTCAGATCAAAGAAGAGGAAATTCTTGTCTCGGCTTGACTGCTTGCGGCACAGTGAGCTCTGCAGATTCCCAGTGTTCCCTGCGGGCTTGGGCCCTGGCCGGTAGCGGGGGGACAGGGCGGTGGGACGGGCGCTGGCAGAGATCCTCCGGTTGTTCCGTGGCACTCCCGGCAGCATGGCGGCCTGCACACGTGGAGTTTGTAGGGTCAGTCTTGGTGTTTCCTCTCCCTTGCAAGGAGGAGGAAAAGGAAAACTCGTATAAGGGGGGAAGAGGGTTGTAAAATGCAGAACCATAGTAGCATTTCTGAAGCTAATTTTAAATCTTGGAGTTTTTACTCACCGATGACTGGGCTGTGATTTGAACTCGCAAGGGTCGTTGTTGTTTCCTAGTTTTTAAGGCTTTTTTACAGTCTTTTTGTATGAAGGAAGACATTGCAATGGCAGGACATACAGGATGTACTATTACAACACATAAGTGTAGAACCCAGATGTATGTGCAATATATAAGCCCTTCTAAGCACAGGAATGGGTACAATTTGCTGCCTCCATCTCCGTGTTCTTGCAGAAAATCCTAGGTATATGTTAACGTGTTCTAGGAGAGAAGTTTATAAATAGTTTGTTTCAAAGAGAACTGAAACTATTTGCCTGTATATAGCAGATGGCCAATGTTAGACATACATACAGTAGTGCAAGAATAAAAGTCAGGGGAAGAGATCATGCAGAGTTCCGGTGTAACCTTCGAAAGCTTTGCTTGCTGTGGTTTGGTGTTGCCTTTACAGAAGAATGTACTTGAGGAAGAGGAGACCAGGCTGTATATTACAAAAAGTGTAGGGTCCTGTGTTGTACTTTTGGAGTGCCGTCAGCGCAGGCTGCTGTGTGGAACTGGCTTTCGCCTTCAGTCTTTCACTGCAGAGAGCTGTTCTCAGGAGTAAGCGTTATATAAACTCATCTGCTTTACACATCAGCAGTAGGAGGAGAAAGGAAATGATGTGGAAGTTTAGTCTTTAATATAGCACAACTCTCAGAGAGGCCAAGGTCGTTTGGTGATTGAACACAAGATAGTATGACCGGTTAGCGAAGACTTAGTTGTTAGCTATAGACTTTTTTTTTTTTTTGTGGTATTTATGATGTTCAACCTTTCAAGGGCTATGGTTTCAAACCTGACGAGCCATGAACACCAAACAGGCAAACTCACATGTAGGTGCACACACAAACCAGCTGTGTAGTGAGTATGAACTATTACTTTGAAGTTGTGAGTTTTACCCCTCTCATGTGAGGGGTTTGATTTGGTCCCTGGTGGCTCTTGGTTAGGACAGATCAGATTAGAAGCTGGTCTTATCTGAAGACTTCAGTCCATTTTATTGTATCAGAGCTCTCTCATCTACAAGTAGCTGGCCCAGCTGGAAGTTTAGGAGAATAGCTTCAAGTTACACCATGAGCATTGCCCAGATGCAGTGAAGAAGCGGGTATAAAGTACTCCACTGCGGAGGGGTGGGATCCTTCTCTGTCAAACCTACAGCAGTGGAGACCTCCTGGCCCTCTGGAGAATTCTCCTGGGCATTTCTGATGCCTTTTCTTAGACTAACGTTTGAAGATGGTTAATTGCAAACATGAATTTGGTGATTTGGTTGGAATGTGTCAAAGAAAAATAAATTCTGTCATAAGAGGAGGAGGAGAACTTTCCTGTGCCCTCCTTCTAGATTTCTGAAGTCCATTTATAGCGATACAGAAAAAGCTGTCTGTGGAAAAAATCAGAATGAATGACAGCCTAGACATAATGAAAATGAGGTTGGTAAGTCAGTGTAATGGCTGGTGTCCTGCTGCAATGCATATGGTAGTACTACCTGTTCCCCCCCCAGCTCATTTCTAGTTTCCTGTGTGAGCACTAAAGAATACAAGTATAGGGAATGAAAAGTCATTACAGACCTTTTTACATAAGAGGGAGGAAAAGGAAGTCATCTTTATGGGTATTCTTCAAACTGCGGGGATCTGTTGGAGCAATGGCAAATCTTGTGGCCAAACTCTAAAATCCTTCCACAGTGTAGACTTCAGTGAAAACCAAGGAGGGTTTGGCCTGGGATTTAGTCTTGCAAAAATATATGTGAATAACTTAATTTCTAATTAGTAGGTCTGTAAGATCTTTTGAGATTAATTTCTAGGTTCAGAGGCTAACTGGGAACCGCTGGAGCCTCCTGCAGTGAAAAAGGGGGAAAAAAAAGAGGAAGCTCTGTGTATTTCTTTCTAAGAACATATAAAATGTACTTCCTTCTATTTATAAAATAAAACCATCCCTCCAGCTGTGTATCTATTCAGTAAACTTGGCAGCCCATGTGGCATGACTGATTAATATACCCCTCGGACATAGGGAGTAGCATGAAACAAGGCAACATGCATTACTTGGCACTTGCCATCCTTCCAAAGCCTCGAGGTGTTTTCTACATGATGGATTACTGTGGCAGCCAGTGGGAGTTCTTGCATTGCTTTACAAAGTTTAAAAAAATACAACCCACACAAACACAAAAAGATTTCTCCATGGTCTTGAGACTGATATTCTGCTTGGCCTCAAAATTAAGTAATGTGTGCTTCCCCCTTGGTGTGCCTGGATCTTATCTTTAAGTCTGAGAGTAAATGAATGTGGTGGCCACTCACCCCTTGACCTTTTCCCTCTTGCTGCTACTAAAACCAACTGTAGTTTCTGTAATTGGGAAGCTTAATAGCGTGCCTGATCCAGCGGTAACAACTTTCAGTGAGTATTAACCTGAGGTAGATGCAAGTCAGTCTGCTTGGCAGCTGCTATGGCTTTGTTCTTTGCCTGTGTCCATACATGTGCCCCTGTTCACAAAGAGCATGTGGGTGTATGCATGTGCATGAATAATGAGTTACTAAGTATTTAGAACATTAAGGCCTTTCTGTGGTTTTTTTAATCTTAAAAAATAGTTAACCAGAAAAATCTGTCTCTCCATTGGTATCTAGGAGCAGCAAAATGTCATGATTACTAGTCCCATTCCCCAGCCATTCCCAGCTCCCCTTTCCCCCTAATTTTTCCTGTTACTCTGTCTTGTCTACTTTGAAACTTCTTTCATGTTCAGGAATTGGCCTTGGGTCTGATTGCCTGCTAAAGTCTAACCCCAGCTTTTCTGTATCCAGAAGCTGATGCCAGATGTTCTTTAGGTTTTTTTTTTTCCCCTCCCTTTCTTCCCGTATGGACTTGTGGCACGTAGAACCAGGAATCATATCAGGGAGGGACGGCTCAGGGGTCCGGATGCAAACTCTGGAGACTCGAGTTTGGTTTTCACTGCCACGGATTTCCTGGATTATCTGTGGCAGGTCAGTGAGGCCAAGGATCCTCAGCAGCAGATGTGTGTATCTATAGAGCTGTAAGGCTCTAGATGCTGGGCTTTTTGTGCCTCCCATATCTGTATGCCATAGGGTCACGTCACGTAGGGAGCATGAAGGATTGCAAGGTGATCATTTCATATGGTAACAAGGGCCTTAAGGACCTTGGACACAAAGGGTAAGGGTGTAGGTAAGGATGAAATTGTAAGTATTAACCATGCGGATTTCTGGTTTAGGTGCGTTCCCTTCAAGCCACGTTTGGAGAATTTGAATCCAGGATGAAAATTGCTCAGCAGAAGCAGGAGGTTACTGAGAAGGCTGTTAAACAAGGGGAGAGTGAAATAAACCGGATCAGTGAAGTGCTTCAGAAGCTGCAAAATGAAATTTTGAAAGACTTGTCTGATGGCATCCACATGGTGAAGGATGCAAGGGAACGAGACTTCACATCTCTGGAAAACACAGTGGAAGAGAGACTAACGGAGCTAACCAAGTCTATAAATGATAACATTGCTGTATTCACTGAAGTCCAGCAAAGGAGCCAAGATGAAATCAACAATATGAAAGCAAAGGTTGATTCACTAGAAGAGGCAGATGTGTATAAACATGAAATTAAGGTGCTAAAAGATGCTTTTGATGACATGCAAGCATCCATGAAAACCAAAGAAAATGACATAGAGACCTTGAAGAGTACAATACACTCCATGGAGTCTGATGTGTATACTGAAGTGAAAGAGCTAGTCAACCTCAAACAAGAACATGAGAAATTCAAAGAGGCTGCAGACTCTGAACACCTTTCATTAAAAGCTTTACAAGAAAAAGTTCTGAGAGCTGAGGATTCTATTATGCAGCTCCCTGGTGACATTAAAAGACTCGATGAAGATTTACTGCAAGTTAAAGCTGACCTCAACAAATGGGAAGAAAATGAACTGTTCAGAAAAGCAGTAGAAACTTTTGGGAAGAACAGTGAAGGACTGGAGTCTCGACTGAGACACATAGAAGACAGCCTGGAGTCTCTAACTTCTGTTGCTGCTCAAAACAGTGAAAAGTTGCAATCTTTCCTTTCTAAGGAGGCAGAATATGAGAATAAGCTCAGTACCCTAGAACAAAGCATTACTGCTCTTCAGGGAATCTCAGATATGGACGTAACTTCAGTCACAGACATTCTGAAAAATCTTGGTGAATCACAGACCTCACTGTACAATGACGTGGAAAGCTTGAGGAGAAGCATCAGTGACCTGCCATCCTCTGGTGCTCTTCAGGATGTCCAGAAGCAAATTAGTACTTTGTTGGATCAAGGAAGTCTTCAGACAAGTCAAGCACACTCTGAAGGCTATCTTGAAAAATTTTCTTCTGTGGAAGGCTCTGTAGATGAACTGAGATCCTCTGTCAGCCAGGTTGATTCTGATTTGAAAATGATAAGAACTGCAGTGGATAGTTTAGTCTCCTACTCAGTGAAAATTGAGAATAATGAGAACAACTTGGAGTCTGTGAAGAGCTCAATAGATGACCTGAGGAATGATCTGGAAAGGTTGTTTGTGAAAGTAGAAAAAATACATGAAAAAGTTTAGGCAGCAATGCTCCTTGTGCAAATAATGGATTAAGGAGAATAGCTTTTGTATGCCCAGTTTTTTACTCTTTTTAAAAGCAATTTGATACCTCCAAAGAGAATAAGAATACTTTAATAATAGAGACAGTTCTGCTTATTTCCTTTATTTCTCTTTTGTGTAGTGTTTTTGGGGTTGGTTCTTTTTTAAAATTTTCTTTTAAGAAAACATGAGTTTAGTTGGGGGTTGAGTTTCTAAGGGCTCATCTTCTCTATAAAGTTGTACCGCTGTAACTGCAGTGGTGTACCTAAGGCACTACAGCCTCGCTAGCATGGACACATATTTAATGGCATGAAGGTGTTTCACACTATGACACTAGATATCCCACACAGAAGGGCTACAGCTGTTCTGGTACGAAAAGCATACTGCTGTACACACTGAGAATTTTACTGGTATGTTTTGGTTTAAGAAACAAACAGACAAAACTACATCCCTGTCTTAAACTGTGTAGACCAGTAAACTCAGGTGTGGACCAGGTTTGAAGCAACTCATCCTTTTCTGCGGTCTGGGACTCAGCCATGCGGTCTGTTTACCAGGCGTCAGTTGAGCTGTAGTATATTTCTGTGAGTCCTTAATCTGTACCAAAGAACTAACAAGGGGTTAGCCCTACCCCCTGAAAGGAAGGTTTGAGGTAAGTGGCATTGCTTGGGGCTAAGACCTAAGAGAAGTGTTCCACCATGTGGCTGGAAAGATTTGTTCTTTGTGATCACAGGCTTCTTTGCCAGCACCTTCAGCTGCTGGTGTAGAAGAACCAGTGCTTAGAAAGGACATCTGAATGATGGGTTTAGTTTCAACAGGGTACAGTATTATTTTTGTCGTATTTTTGGGCTGTTTACATGAGGAGGCTGTGTCTTCCCTGGAAGGGCCTAATTTGTCTGTGATACAAGATTTTCTGTAAAAATGATCGCGAATTTGAATAAGGAAAGGGAAGCACTAAAATTGCACCTCTTGTGTTCCATGTATAGCAAGCATGCTAACGATAATAATACACTCCAAAACACACAAGGGGGAAAATCACCATGAAATCAGCAGAATTGCTTCTAAGGTGTATACATTTCTAAGTTTTCACACAGCTGACAGTGACCTGAACTGTTGTTACGTATTCAGGACTTGGTGCCTGATTCTCATCACTATTGTTGTCACCGGGTCTCTACCTGGGGCACTGGTAGCAAAGGATCTTTCTAGGAACTGGCTGAGAGTGAGGAAAAAGTGTCATAATTCTCTAGATGTTCATCTAAAAACCACTTTCGCACGGAGCTTTCTTGATTTTCTGTCTTTTTGGAAAGGATTTCTAATATCCCTCCTTTTCAAGTTTACTTTTGAACTTTATCCAAAGATTTGGTTAAGGGGTCTGCACATGGATACCGTGGAAATAGGTCGTGCGCATCGTGCCCACCTCAGCCTGCACTAACCAGATCCGTGGCTATGTTAGAAGAAGAATTTCTAGAAACAGCACGTCCCAGAAGTGGTGTGCTTGTGGGAACAGCGCAGGTGAAAAGGAATTCTCCTCAGTAAATAAGATACTGAACCATACCTAATGTTCCCACTGTAAACAGGAAAGAATTGCTGGCAAAGAAAGGGACCCACAGCTTTAAGGTAACTCTTGTCACTGTTGGAACTGCACTGTTCTTTGTTGACTTCTCAAGTTCTTGAACGATGTTGTTTAGGTTACTGTGAAATGAACTGTATGGCTTATTTGCGGTATTTTTCATACATAATAAACATTGGGAATATTCTTTGCACCTTTTTTTGATTGCTGCTTGCTTAATGTTGTGTTTCCCAGGATGCTTCCAGTGGGGTACAGGAAAGGGCTTGGGGGAAGAACCAGCCCTATACGTGTTCTCAGTTTTCATAGGGGAACGCGGAGGCGGTCTTACCTTACCTGCTGTGGTTACAGAGGAACTCCTGAAAACAGGATTTGAGTCAGATCAATGCAGCGGTGTTGACCACCGGGCTCAGAAGCCCAAGATGATAGTTGGTGAGGTGTGAAATACGTGATTTATGCAATGAATGTCAGACGCTGCCCGCAATGCCTTGGTAAGACTTTCAACAATGTCCACAGCATGTGGAACAGAAATAACGTACAGAAAGGATCTATATAATCTTTCCAAAGTGGCTGCTCCTTTTGCATAGCTTTGAGTGCTGGATTGCAAGGCCCATAAACGGATACCATCTTTGTGATGGATGCCTGGCTTTCAAAAGTTTGGGAAAGGGTGATTTCAGGAGTATGGGCATCACCATGTCCTGGCAATTCCTGAGGCCAAATTCATAGAGGTAGGTAATCCCATTAGACTATCTATATGTTCAACAAAAGAGGTGAGCATGCAAGCCCTTCCACTTAAAAGAGCTTTGACATAACCTGTTGACTGGAAGCTGGCCGTGAGCACACAGTGGCTTTAAAGGGTAGTGGCCACGTGATGAAGGAACTTAAAGAGGCTGTCAAGCCAGCAGTGCAGCTGGGCCAAATTGGATCTCAAAGATTAAATGAAAAATTACTAGTTATGCCTCTAGTAACTTAAATTGTATGTCAAACTATTGAAATGACTTATTTCACTAAATAAGAATAATTCTCCGTAAATAATAATGTGGCTGGAGGCAGCCACAGTGGCAAGGATCTCTTGGCGGGCTGGAGGTTCTGCTTTTACGTGTGGTTTGACAGCCACATCGAATGCAAACACTTCCTAATTCCCTCATAAAGGCTCACAGAGCATATCCAGTCCCCATGCTGCCCTTTGCCCTTGTTTTTACACTTTGCAATGAAAGCAGCAGAGGTGGTCTCAAGCAAGACATAGTCTATGTTGCCAGTGTTCTTTTACATTATTAGTAGTTCATTAATAACGTGCTGTTACAGTAACACATTTCAATGGAAGCTGTCCACCTGATTGATGAGGTATTGATCGAGCCACTTCATTAACATTTGTCTTCATTTTCAGCTCTCATAAGTGGAGAAGCTATTATGCTGAGGCACTGTGGACCTAATCGCACTTGAAAGGGCTTGCCCAAATAGCTACGCTGGCAAACGTGATGGAGATGAGCCTTGTGCTGCTGCAGAAAATTCTCCCAGTAGGGCTTTGACCGGCTGCCTCAGGTGAAATAACCTGTAACAACAAGAGTTTCTGGTGGCCTGAATGTGTATGTTAGAGGTTTTATTAAAACATGGATCAGTGATTTAGTCTTTTTACCATCTTACTTGACGTAACTTGGCTGGTAGTGTAAACAAAGCCGCGAAGAAGTTAAACCACTACAGGAAGAAATGCTTTCCGAGATGCACAGACACCACAGCAGCCGAAAAACAAGTGTGGGCCCTCCATTCTACTCTGCGCTGCCAAGGTCAGTCTCTGTCCAGTTTGGGGCACTTCCAAGAAGGGCGCGGCCGAGCTGGAGAGACTCGGGAAGAGGAAAATGGTGATGATCAGAGGTAAAATGCGCCGGGGAGAAGAGATTGAACAATTGTTCACGGTTGAAAAAGTGGAGGGAGGATTGAAGGGAAAAGAGGAACGAAAGAAAGAAGAATAAACAATCTTCAGCTACCGAAAGGGCTGCTCCGTGAAAAGAACGAACCCGTGCGCTGATGGCGGAGAGGGTGCGGCGCTGCGGGCGGGATTTAGGGAGGTTTGGGGAAGGCAA